TGATATGAAACTAATTATTAGTTTTATTTTCTTTGACAAAACATACAAATTTTTATTTTTTTAATAAAGAAGTAAGGCATAATTCGGATATAGAGAAAAAAGTTGTAATGTTAAAATTTAACTATAAATTTATTTATTGATATTATCTGAGTGATTATATAAATTAAATTGAGTTAAACTCTAAATTTATTTACTTTTGCTAATTACCTAGAAATCACCATTTTATGGGCACATCCTTTCCTTGACCATTCTGGCAATCCTACTTGTCAGGTCATATGCCCTATTAGCTTTTCCAACATAATAATTAGTTTAAATTAGCTACTATTACTATCACCATAATCTATTAAAACAACATTGCCACTTCAATAATTAATTTTTATTATTTTATTGATTAAATTATGAACAACTAACTAGAGATTCCATTATTCCAAATTGCCTTTTCATTTATTTTTCAGTATCATTAATTATTGTTAATATAATATTATTAATGTAATTATATAGTCAAACCTAATATTAAGTATTATGATATTATAATTAAAAAATATATAAAATTAGATAAATTTTTTATAAAATCATAATTACTAATATTACATTTGATAACCTAATTATATTAATATTACAAAATATTACCATTATAAAATTATTACAATATTTAAGATGTATTTGATATGCAAAATATGATAACAATGTTAAAGTGTGGAGACAAATTATTAAAAAAAAAAATTGGTCAAAGTGATGCAAGGGATGATACAATTGACTAAAGTAATGTAAGAGATGATGTAATTAAAGGGGCTTAGAGCTTATAAATAGATTTGATTTGTGAAGAGAAAAATCATAGCAAAATTTAATTCTTCATTTATAAGAGAGTTTTTTAAAGAGAGAGTTTTGTGAGGTGTTCTCTTCTAAAAAAGAGATAGAGAGAGTTGGAAAGCTAAGTAAGAGATAATTTTTCTCTTTTGTAATTTTCATCTTTTTTATGGTAAAATTTCTACAACGATTTTAAAAGTTGATGTAATTCTCATAGTGAGGATGAATCAATATAAATTTTTGGTGTTCTTTTTGTGCAATATTATTATTCTTTGCATATAATATTACTTTTCAGTCTGTGGGATAGGCTATTAATTAGGGGTGTAATTGATCGAATTTTAAGTCGATACAGTATTAAGTTCGAGCTCAATTCAAAATTTGAGGTTCGAAACTCGGTTCGAACTCGATCGAATTTTTTTTTTAGCTCAAACTTGACTCAAGATAAAAAATCGAGCTACTTGAGCTCGCTCGATTAAGCTCGATTAATATGTAAAAATTAAACTCAATTTTTTATTTGGACAAAAGCTGATTATTTGTGCTTAAGCTCAGGCTCGAGATATTTATTAATTAAAATAATAAAAATATATTTAAATATAAAAGCGCGATTAGGCTCATGAGCTACTCGAGTCAAATATAAAAATGCTCGAATTGGCTCATTGATGAATTGAGCTACTCGAGCTCGAGCTCGACTAGAAAATAATTAAGCTGAATTGAGTTTTATTCGAATCAAACCTGAGTAGTTTTCAAATATTAATGAATCATTTACACATCTACTCTTAATCTCCAACAAACAATTATTACGTTAACAAATCAAATGTTTAAATCTTTACGAAATTAAGGGATTATTTTAAATCAAATGGAATTTTTTTCATAAATGACAATGAAAACTTGTTGGGACCTGCCTATTAGTTGTTTATTTAATAATAGATGCTATAATTTATCTCCTGTACTCAAAAGTCATCGGTTTTTGTTTTTCTGATGATTAATTTTAGGTCAATTTGATAATCATATTAGAGTAAAATATTAATGATTTATATATTCGTATTGTATTTTATATAAAAATTATATTACAATTCGAGTTAACATGAAAAATACGAAATTTATAATTTGATTTGAAAAATTATCAAATATATTGACAATTGAGTTTTTTAATTACAAAAGTGGGATTAAGATAATAATACATATTTTTTAGTGTGTATTTAAACAATTAAAAAAATTAATTTTAAAAAATGAAACATATGTCATTATCTTAATCATATTTGTAAAATTAAAAATTTTCACTACATTGTATCATATAATTTTTCATTTGATTTTTATTAAATTTATATATAATTTTTGTTAAAATTTTAAATCATATTATGTGTTATATTTTAAATTATAATTTTTTGCTTCAACGTTTTAGGTTGGATTGGGTCTAAATCCATCTGAACTACTTGGTTCATATATGAGTTGTGTAAATCTTAAAATCCAACTTGACTTGATTGGATGAACCACCTTCATCAAATGAAACCACATCCGATAAAGAAAATAGTTTTGATGATCAACCAGATCCAGAACAACCTGAAATTCCTATCCCTCAAACATTAGGCACATGGGAAGAGAAAAGCCGAAGCAATATCTAACCAAGATATTGATGATTTTAAGGCGATTTCTAGATCTATTAGATCCTGATATAATGGATCAACATCTTTCTCTGTACAGTTACCCGTTACAGTGTACAGTAAAATTTTATCTATAGTACTGCTACAGTGACTTGCTACAGTGTCTTCAGTAGTAGGTCTCTATCTTTTCTGCTACAGTGACGTCTTATCTTTTGTTACAGTGACTACTACAGTGTTTTCTGTCTGTTAGTCATTGGCACCGAATGGAGTTTTATCCTTTTATGTCGGCTGTTTGTTCTGGCTTATCTTGGATTAGAACATGCACAGTTTATCCTTTCATAACATTGTTTAGGTTATGAAATTCTTCATCCAGTGCGTTAAGGGACTAAAGAGATTAAGAATATCCGGAATGTGATTTGTTTCACATTTACCATCCTTCTTGATACTGTATAATAGATCAGTCGGATGATCAAAATAACCTTCTATATAGGTATAATATCTTACCTTATTGGCAAATGATATTATTTCTTAAGGGTGAGTCTCATAAATACAAAAATTATTTATAGAATGAATCATTTTAATATCTTCAGTTCTAGTTTTTTTAGAAGAAGAAGTGTATGAATTAATCACAGAATTAACAGAATGATAATTAGTTTGATTATCAACTGTACTTTATTGAGA